GGGTTTAGGATTTAGGGTTCAGGCTTAGGCTTCAAGGTTTAGGGCTCAAAAATACGGTTCAGGGAAGGGCTTATAGATTCTGTTTGGTTTGGATGTCAATCTTTCAACGTGGGGTAGACGGGCTTGCATGAAAGGCACTTCTCACTGAACATAGGGGTCGGAATATTCAGTAATTGCTCGCAACCCCTCCTAGTTACTATAATCCGCCGAAAAGCCTTCTCTGTTTCTTTAAACCCCCAGATTATCTTCTTGCCCTTCGCACCACATAACACAACAGGTTATCCCCAAACCCTAAACCCTCTAAGCCCGAAGCCCTGAACTCAGAGCCCCAGACTCCAAGCCCTGAGACCCAAAGCACCAGCTCCCTAAACTACCCATCGGCCCTAAAGTAGTTCCTTTCTTGGGGTTCATGTATAGGGCTTAGGGTTTAGGGTTTATAGAATCCTACAAGGTAACGCCAAAAAGGCACTACTATGGGGCCTATAGGTATACTGAACTTGGCACCCCTTGCAATAATTACAGCTTCAGCGGTTTGTATCTTAGGGATTGTAGTAGCCAAAAACCGAGAATTGCTTCCAAGCGCCTTTAGTTCTCTAAGCGGCCTGACAGTATAGAATAGGCCTCTCGGTGTGTTGTAGTGACTATGAGGAATATGATTAGGTGCTAAATAGTAGAAATCATCGTCCTTCGAGCAGGACACCCTGGAAGCCGCGGCAGAGGAGGTGCGTCGCTAGGTCTTGGTCTCCTCCCTCCTAGGAATACAAAAGGATCCTTTTTTTGGCATTCTGCGGCTTGATAAGAAACCAAGGACAACAAAAGGGAAAAACCGGCCCAACGGGAGAGCTGGTCTTGTAAGCAAGAGTCAAGGGTTCGGGCTTCGGTCTCAGAGACTCCACAACCCATCAATCAAAAAAGTGTACCATGATCCCTCTACAGACTAGGCATACTCCTTCATTACGGGGAGTCGCACTGTTTGATGTATACAACCCTCACTACTGTGTGTCCATAAAGTTCTCAGGCTTTATGACGGTGTTAGAGAGATTTGGGGGTTTGCACTACTAGAGCAGGTGTTGAACAAGCTCGTTCTGAAACGGACCCCAAACGACAGCACTGCAATCGGAATGAGACTGAAGGGGGGGGTCCTAAAATCTTATAAACACCCTAAACCCCTAAACCCTAAACCCTATAACCATCACAGGATAAGCCTGATACTTGCCAGAATCCCATCGAAAGAGGACCTCGTTTAAGGTGTTCCGGTCCGTAGGCCCTGCGGCAACGTATTGACACCGAGAATTTAGAGTAATTCCTGATCCAGTAACCGAACCCTATACCCTAAATCCTATACCCTAAACCCTAAATCCTATACCCGAATTCCTATATACCCTAAACCCTAAATCCTATACCCTAAACCCTAAATCCTATACCCTAGATCCTATATACCCTAAACCCTAAATCCTGTACCCTAAATCCTATATACCCTAAACCCTAAATCCTATACCCTAAACCCTAAATCCTATACCCTAGATCCTATATAGCCTAAACCCTAAATCCTGTACCCTAAATCCTATACCCTAAATCCTATATACCCTAAACCGTAAATCCTATACCATAAATTCTATGTACCCTAAACCCTAAGCTCAGGAACAAGCAAAGCAACACGTAGGCCTTCCTTCAGTCGTCAAGCTTTGGAGGCTTCAATGATTCGAGGCATAGATAGGGCTGGGTTAAGGGGTTTAGGACTAGGTTAAGGGGTTGAGGGTTGAGGGTTTAGGTCTAGGTTAAGGGGTTTAGGGTTTAGGGCCAGGTTAAGGGGTTTAGGGTTTAGGGCTAGGTTAAGGGGTTTAGGGTTTCGGGCTAGGTTAAGGTGCTTTGCGGTTTAGGGCTAGGTTAAGGGGTTTTGCGGTTTAGGGCTAGGCTAAGGGGTTTAAGGTTAAATTGAAATCCCCAGCAAAGTTAGCTTCTCAAGGCACGATATCAGGGAAACCATCTCAACTACTTTCCAGCCCCTAGCTTGCATCCGAGCGTCCTCCTGGCATGCTTTTGGCTGGAGTGCGGCGCCCAGGCTCCAAAGGGTGCCTCTCCGGAGAGCGACAGCAAAAAAAAAAACGGCTTGTGTAGAGTGTCGAGTAAGTCTGGGATAGCAATATAGTAGCAGAAGCAGGGTGAGAGGGTCTTACACAAACAGGGGGTTCTGAGACCCTTGCATAAGTTAAATCATAACAACTTTGATGTGAAGGTCAAGGGTAAGAACGATTATCATGGTTCTGGTCTTCCTCGTGAGACTAGTGATACAAGCTCTAGTAATAACACTAATTGATATGAAGACTTGCCAGGGTTAGCAACATAATTCTAACATAGTAACAATGATGATAACAGAGCAGTAACAGTACTGAGACAATGCGATGCTGGGGCATATATACTACGGCGCCGGATAGTATTTATTACCTACTACTTCGACCTCCGAGACTCAGCATGTAAACAGGAGTCGTAAGGACTAGGAGCATCGTCGCAATGCAGACCACAGCAAACCCACAGCAAACCTACAGGCAGCGGACCACCAATGGCCTGGGCCTTGCTGCAATATGCTCCACAGCGGATTGTCCTCTACTGGGTTGCTGCTAAGGAACTTAATTTAAGCTGCCATAGTGGCGCTATTGTTGTCATTACTATTATGATTATTATGATTGTTATGATTATTATGATTATTATTACTATTTTATTATTATTGTGATTATATCTATCTATCTATCTATCTATCTGTCTATCTATCTATCTATCTATCTATCTATCGTATGTGTATATATATATATAGTAAATACCCTGAAAATAGTATAGGTAATTATTAATTAAGGGCCCTATAGTATCTGCTTCGTGCTTTTTTTGGCTCTGTCCTTCTCCGGACACCCGGCGAGGGACTCTTCCTGGACAGGTCAGCACGGAAGGCGCGGAGGCCGGGGCTGTTTTAAGGGTAGTATGGGATGAGGGTTTGGGTGGGGGTTTAGGGTTTAGGGTTTTAGGGTTTAGGGTTTTCGGGGGCTTCATGAAGGTGCCATGGGGCTTTAATTATAAGGTTTTCCAAAATCTTGTCGTGGTCGTAGGGTTAGGCTGAGGTTTTGCAAGTTGTGTGGAGTGTTTCGCGGTTTTGGGGGCTGTGAGGCGGGCTTTGTTGCTTTCTGCGCTGTCTGTCAAGCACCTCAAGCAGGGGTCAGTCTATAAAACAACCCTAAACCCTAAACC